TTGCTTCTACCAAAAGCATACAAGTGATTTCAGATCATGGCTCACACTTCACACAGCCCTTGGATCTCCTATGGGAGAAGGGCAAATAAATATTATAAAACCTAAACAGGCCCCTTGGGATTAAACAAATCCATTTAAAACATACTGAAGGGAATATATCAAAACTGGAGGAGACAAAATCTGGAGCAATTGCTTATGACAACCATTCAGCGTCTCTCTTCACTTTGTTAATTTGAAAATGAAAGAGAGAAGCTGATTGGTTGCCGTGCACAACTGCTCCAGACTTCGTCTGCTCCGGTTTTGATAAATTCCTTTCACTGTATGTAAACCAAAAAAACGAAAATTTTAGGTATCGCAACTTACCAGTCCTTAGATGCAATGACTGCAATATTTTTCTTTTTTTATGTTAAGAAAATGTTCAGCAATCACATAAAATACCTGTTGATCTTGCCAGAAATGGAATGTTCTTGTCACTTTCTGCCTTATTTTTCTTATCATGTCTTTTAAGATTTCCCTCCTTAATATTTACAAATGTCGGCAACTATGCTTTATATACACTTTAAAGATAACCTTTGGACCACCAAAAAATCTACCCCATCTTTAGGCACTGCTAGGCATCCACAGATTGACTTTAATTTACTGTGGAGTGCCTAGGGGCTCCAGGAACCTAAATACATTTGATATGAAAACAGTCATCAGCTGCCACAGTTGCTGGCTTTCCCCACTGCTTCCCAACCCTGCCCATACTGGCTCATGACTATGATGGTTGGCCTCACAAGCCAATAGTAAAGAACAAGAAAGAAGAGGGAAGAGCCAGTGCCAGTATGCATTGCATGAAAATCATGTTGCTGTTTCCATAATGCAGCTGCATGGGCTTACAGGGTCCTCTTGGATCTTTGTAGGAGGTGCAAGTAAACCAGGCAACTAGAAGTGCCTTCTTTTGGGCCCATACATTCTTAAAGAAAAACCTGTGCACTTTAATATACAATGAAAAATAATAAGGGATTTGCAATGTCATAGCTCTTGGACTTTCCAAAAATGATATCACATCTAATTCATGGGGTATGTAATATAGAATAGATCCTCTAGAGAGAACTAAACATCTTGTTATACAATATACCGATGAGCTGAAACAACATAAAGGAATTAAATCAGTCAATGTCTTCTTTTGCCTATGCATGTTATTTTCACATCATCTGATACTGCTATTCTTTGACACCATATGACATACATATCTTCCTTTACAAAAACAAATTACAAGGATGTTAAAAAAGAAATCTCTCCTTGACCCTGGAGGCAGTAAAGGAAACTGGCCAGGAATAATTGTTAAAGCTGAACTCCAGAAAAGCACTGAAAAAACAATTTTTCGCCACCAAAGTTTTTCTCAATAACAAATGATTTTTGCTTACAACAAGCATAACCTCATAAATCTGTCCATATATTAGCACCTGCCATCCCCTGCAGAGCAGTACACTGGTAGTAGTAGAGGCTGAAACATCAGCCAATCAGGTCTCTACTGCTGTGCATTGACCTTGTTTCCCTAACAGTGAACATGAAGAATGCACTGGAATGAACTTGCCAATGTGCTTCTTTTTCATCACTGTCTAACTACAGAGTAGGGGTGGAACAGTGACTAAAAAGCCGCACTCCATTAACCATTTTATTCTTTAGTCACTCATCAAATAGGTGAGCATGATTATCATGATTTTAGGAGGAGGAGGTTGTAGAATTGTTCTCACTGAAGAGTATGTACCAGAGATTTTTATTTTGCCTGGAATTCTTTGTTAAATAAAAACATTATACTACATGGTAATCACTTGATTTAATACACTTGAGGCAGATAATTCAGTTATGCGTAGATATTGGTGAACTGGATTGAAGTGACTTCTTATAGGCTCTAGTGGAGAGATCATCCTGTGTGAATACATACTTAGTGGCAGACGTAGACTAAAAAGCACAACAAAGTGGCTCCATCCTCCATATGACACCCATAGTTACTGATCTATGTATGGAGTGTCGACGTCTCTGAATTACAAAGAATTGCAGCTGCTCCCTTTTCCTAGCCCTGACATCAACCCTGGTCATTGCAATGGTTGGTAAGTCAACATGATCTTCTTTGAGATCACTTCCTGTGACATTAAATCTTACCGATTGTGTTTTAAAATATTAAAAACCAGCTACGCTCAAATTACTTAGTCCTTTGTGCAAAACATGGCAAACACATACGTTGTTAATATATTTTCTTTTCAGGTCAAAGGTATTGTGATGTAATACTGGATTATGGCCACTAGATGGAACTGAGGAGTATAGGAAATGGTATTTATTAGACCCCTATGTGATGGAATATCCAAAATTTTACAGTGCCAACCAGAACAGAAGCTGATAGTAAGTTGTCCATCGGGGACAACTGTTCTGATGACAACTATCTGAGAAGGCAATTGTCCTCACTTTCTATAGATATTCTCTCACTTCCTGTTGCATATTTGGGACTGAAGTTAAAGGGGAAAATCTCCACGACGGAATAGAGACAGCAAAATTGGTGTTTTCTCCCATTGCCCTTTCCCTGGCATTTGCTCTTCTGATTCAGGTGTGCAATATTAATTAATTCCAAGGAAAGTTCATGGACCTAATTTATTTAAGGCAGTTCAGTTGTCCAAGGTATACATATATTACCCTTACAAAAATATTATCATTCAGCATTAGATTTACAGCAGCATTTAAATATAAAGCTTTCTAAATGAAAGCACAGACGCATCATTGGCTGAGAACGTGGAGACAGACTAAGCAGCACAGGAAAATCCATCAATGCTTTTCATTTGTAAACTCCTCTGTGATAGCACAAACACTATTAAGAGCTTACTGGATTTTTAGACAAGAGGTGGAGTGACCCAGATTTATCTCAGAAGCTTGTACAATCCCAGAGATGTCTATCACTGCCCATATATCCAGCACAGAATACTGTTAATAAATACTGCATTCTCAATAATGTATAGCTACGTCAATCTGGAAAAGGAATCTATTTAATCAATCAAACGCAGCCGCCTTTCGTTTCCTCAGTGTCAGCGTGCGTATATAGGATTTCACTCCTTTTAACACAGCAAGGTTTCCATATTCATTTATTTCCCCCAGCAGAGAAGAATCCAATAAATAACTGAGAAATGAATTGATATCCATAACTAAATTGAGGTTTCGCCGGGCCATGTGGTCTTATATGCGGCTCTGCTGAGACATCACCCCTGCATGTTCAGGAAAGTAGCTAAAGGCAAGGATCCTCTCTGTTCCAAGTGCCTGGTACAATTATAACCTTCTCAAAAGGTAATGTGATGTAAGCATGAGGGTTTTCTGAATATTCTAAATAGCATCAAATTCATTTTGTTGTACAGTTATGAGAGTTATATAATACATTTGTCACCAGTTATTTGCCTTATGAAAAGTGGAAGTGAGTTGACTTGAATATTCGAGTAGTTTAAGAGAGAGTGTTAGAGGAGTTCCGGATGTAGGTAATGTTAGCAGTGACCTAATTTATTATGACCAATTGTTGTCGGATGTCAAATTTCAGTTATGACCCAACGATTTTAAATTTTTTTGTATGCCAGTTCTTTGCCTTATGAAACGCAGTAGGTAGTTGACTTGAAAGTGGTTTCGGGGGGCGTGGCTTCGGAGGCAACGGAGATGGCCGCTTAACTCGGGAGCTCCTGCTCACCTGCACCCAGCATCGCCTTCGGCAGCTCTCCTCCATCAGACATGGGGAAGATTGGCCCACAATACCCTCCTGGGAAGACTCCTGGACAGAGGGGAGACCCGCCGGCCAAACAGGTACCGGACTTTAGGGTTACTATTAGCAACCTACCCTCAACCATGGTTCACTTCGCTTTGCCTGACAACTACTCACAGGCCTTATCTACGCTAGGTTCACCCACCCCCCCACGCCCCCCCCACCCTTTTAATTTCTGAAAATTCAATAAAAACATTTACAACAAAAAAAGAAAGTGGTTTCGGAGAGCGGTGGAGGAGTTCATCGATGTAGGTAATGTGACCTAATTTATTATGGCCATTTGTTGGCGGATGTCAAATTTCAGTTATGACCCAACAAGGTTTTTACATTTTTCAGTATGACCCAAATTTCAGTTATGACCCAATGCTTTTAGATTTTTTTGTATGCCAGTTCTTTACCTTATGAAAAATGTAAGTGAGTTGATTTGGAAGTGGTTTAGCAGATAGTTGGAGGAGTCCTGGATGTAGGTAATCTTAGCAGCGACCTAATTTATTATGACCAACTGTTGGCAGATGTCAAATTTCAGTTATGACCCAACAATGTTTTTATAAAGCTTTCCTAAGAACTTTAAGGCTCATGCTATTCATACACAATTTAATTTTTTTCTGATTCAGGAGTTATTGTCTGAAATTGTCTGAAGTAGCCCATATCAACCAATCATATTTTAGCCTTAGAAAGCTCCATAGACTCACCGCTCCATTCTAACGTCTGCTGCAGTCAGTCCATACTCTGGGTGCAGGCTATAGTGTGCTTCACAGTTGTTCAAACGAACCTTCAAAAGATCAGCCGCACAAAACCAGTGTAAATGCAATCCAAAAGTTTATTGCAGTAATCCAAACAGGTTCCAAAAAGTAAATCCAAGAGAACATTGAACGTGTACATCACCATGAACATCTCCCACACCACGCCTCTCACAAATTTCACCACCTGGGCTTAATCATAGAGGAGGATTGCATTTACTCTGGTTTTGTGCGGCTGATCTTTTGAAGATATTTTAGCCTTAATTAGGCTATCAGCCTAAACCAAATTCTGATTGGGTGCAACAGATTACTGCACTTTACACAGCTGTGCATACTGCTACTACCTCATTCACTAAGTCCAATGATATGCTAAATTGAACAAAAAGACTTTGTAAACCATCTGCCCAACCTGTACAAGCTGATTTTCATTCTGAGAAAACTATTAAGAACATATTATAAAGACATTTGGGGTCCACCGTACTTACATTAGTGACGTGTTCAATGTCCCTCCAGATGTTACTTTCCCTAGGAAAATCCGCCAAGTCTAAAAAATTATCCACTATGATCTGGCCAATGACATCATGTCTTGAGAAGCGGTCAAAATCATAGATGGAGAAGTGGAGTTTCCTACTGGGCAACTCATTATAGGGAACAGAAAATAAAAATACTTCATCAAACACCGGATTCAGAGTCTTCCGATGGACCTTAGTCTGGTGTTTAGTCTTCCGATCCGGAAGTAAATAAATCTTGACATAAGGGTCTGATGTCCCGGAGAAGTCTTTGGCTGGTAGGCCAAGCGCCTTGTGAATCTTTACTATGAGTTTTTCCAAGTCACAATCATATTTAATGATGAAGTTGAGCTTCCCACATGATTTGGTATTGTTCCTTCGACTATCGTCTGTTTCCACAGACCTCTGTTTATACAGTTCAGGCTTGATTCGCCCAATTCCAGTCAGCTGCTCCTGCTTCTGAAACTGCTGGATGTTGAAGTCAGGGTTTGAAAGGTTCAACTGTCTTCTGATCGAATTATGTCTTAAGAAAGGAAAGAAACGGAATTAGTATCATGCATAAAAATCTAAATTATTCTTACATAAATTGCGAACAACCAAAGCTACCTACCAACCATACCAGTATAATATATATATATAGTGAGATTTAGCTTCCAATGGTAGCGCATTAAGGATGCATCCACACGCTTATGACTTCTTTTAAGTCTTCTTTTCTTTCTTCATCCAAAATAGCACTTTCAAAGTCCACTGACTTTAGGCTGTCTGATTACCAAATGCTTTTCACCACACAGAAAAAATGCCATCTTAGATCTAATTGTCACTAATAATGCAGAGTTAATCGAGGATATTGTAATTGGGGAGTCATTGGGTAATAGTGATCATATGGAGCCCTCCTGACTCCTGCAGAGACTTCTGTTACCCAGGTGGAGCCCTGAACCTGACCCAGCATCCTCATCATAAGGGCTTTGCACAGGTGCACCATCATTTGGTGCTGGTCACCACTGAAGCCCGGACTCAGGAATGGAGATTTCATCCCTCCCAGTTCTCTTTGAAATCTCCCAGTTCCAGGATCCCAGTTATAATTTAGAAAACCCAGAAAGAATTACAAAGCCAGCTCTTTCCAGGTAAAATATTTCCGTCCTGGAACTGCTTAGCCCCTGGGTGACCCTTTTGCCACTCTACATAGTGGCATTGCCACACACTGCATCAATATATATATCTATAGATATAGATATATATATATATATATATTTTTTTTTTTTAGCACACTATATATATATATATATATATCAGTTCTTAAAGGGTTAGTCCAGCCATTATAATAGTTCAGAGTTCTGGTTATTTTCAGCTCCTTTTTCATGGCTCAGGAGTAGCAGTAAAGGCTTCATACAGTATTTTGACTGCATCAAGAACACCTCCTTTGAGGTTTTCTGTGCATGGGAGCCATTTTTGTCCTTGCCTACGTGCAGGACACCTGATACACACTGCTTGTTCTGGGTAAGTAAGTACTGAAGGTCTCTGCAGAAGTCTGACATGTGTCTTGCTTAGTCAGGAAGCATGAGGTTTGCTGAGTGGAGAGACCACTGCTTCCATACAAAGAGCAAGGATCCCTCTCTGCAACATGCTTGCAGGGGAAAAGCTTTTCTACTCAGGCCGTGGTTGTGTTCTAAAATAAAGGAAATGTAATCATTTGTATACCTTTTTTGTTTTGAGGCACCTAAAATGTATGTAGCTTATTTGAATTGAAAGTTTAATTGGACTTTAATTGTAGTTATGTTGTGATACTTCCAGGGCAATGCTGTACACCAAAGAAAGGTTTAGGTTAAAAGCTCTATAGTGGTACATTTGCAAAGCAAGTTGCCAGCGGCCGCTAACATGTACTACCTGCTTTCTTTTTAAACCCAAATCAAGTTATTGGATATGTCCAATCGGATACATTACAATGTATAACAATGTTCTATATTTGCCTAAAATATTTTATGTTCTAAATATTAAATATTTCATACTGTTTAACCACTTTGAAAATGAGAATCCTGCTAGGCATTAATTATAGCCCTACAGATCCAACACTTTGCTAAAGAATATCTAATCAATAAAACCCTACTGTTTTCTATCATATTAATACATTTTATTACTGTCTGATGTAAAGACAATGACCCAGTTTTACTGCATGAATATCTCCAAAAATAGATTGTGCATTGTTTTATGTGGCAAAGAAGAAGAAACACTGCTAAGATTACAGGTTGTTCATCTACATAAAGCAGCCAAGAAGCTCTTTCTGCACTTGGATCTGTGAGACTTTCTTTAACATAACACTAAACACCATCATGGAAAATACCTGTGAAGCCAACCTAAAGTCAGATAATTATTTTTGGACTGCTGATCCATGGGCCTACCAACTTCACCTTCCTTGCATGGCTGAAATACGAAGCTGTCAGTCATCTTGGTGCCACCAACCACTGTTTTCCCTTTCACCTTTGTCTGGGTAACATGGATCTATGTGAGGCAGTAGCACTGAACGATTGCCTCTGCTTGAGCATAAAATCAGCATCTCTGCCTTAGGGCAAAATGTAGGTAAGCAGTAAGGCAGCAGTACCCATTTAGAGCTTTAACCAGCTAACAAAAAGTATCTCAGTGGTGCAGGTAAAAGTGTATTTCCACTTTTGCATACACATTGGGATAACACATACTTCATATTTGTTACTTGTGCACATTCATATCGTATAACTCCACTGCAAAAGTGGAAATATACTTTAAGATAGGGGCAGGTGCATAATTCAACAGACCTAAACCCATGATATGACTTAGGTCCACTTCAAAGGGAGACCATAATGTTTTTAGGGGGGGGGCTGGGCCATATATTTGGACTCAAATTGTAAGGTTTGCCAGATAGAATCACATAATTTGTTAAATGAATTTCAACGTTTCACTTCTTGCACTATACTATATTTTCTGAATTGTGTTTCAAATACAGTTTTGTAGACTCTCCCTCTACTGGCTATCTGTGCTTCATACAATTATCCTTGATAATCAGTTGCTGAAGATCTTGCACTAAGAGGCAGGAACAATAATGAACAATCACCATGGAGAACACTGAGCAGGAAGCACATTTGGTACATCAATCAAACAAACCAGCACGTCAGTGAAGGCAGAGTGGGGTAGGAGTCAGTTGTCAGCCGTGTCACCACTGATTAGCCTCCAGTGACAGACGAGTCAGGATGGAGAGCAGATTTCAAGCTGATCGCTGAGTGTTTGTAAATACTTGAGGACATAGTATGCCTGTCTGTATCCCCTCTGATCCCCGCTGCTCTCCCACGCCTGTGTCGGCAGAGGCAGCGGGGATCCGAGGGGACCCAGACCAGAGCCCAGCGGGGAGGAGAGAAGCTTTCATGAGGTGGAGCGGGGAGGAGAGAGCTGTCCTCCTGCACCTCCCCGCTCAGCCTTCTGTGGCAGGCGAGTCAGGATGCCGAGCGGAGTACAGGAGCTGCAGAAAAAGAGCTTTAGGACCATTTGTCCTCAATCTCTTTTTCTATTTCATAAGGGAAATATCCGTGGTCTGTTTAGACCCCTGATACTTCCCCAGTGCCCCTGACAGTTAAGTAAAAAAAAATAAATAAAAATAAAATATAAAAAATAATTTTAAAAAGGTTAAAAAAAACATAAATTTCAGTTTTGGTTTCGGCCTGACAAATGTTTTAGTTTTGATTTTGAAAATTCCATTTCAGTGCCCCTCTAGTTATTATACTGTAATAACAGACAGCTCAGAATTTCCAAAGTCAGCATCCATTTAACAAAACTGGCGCAACCATATCTAGATGAATGGCAGAGCTTTAGAAAGCTTTATCATGTATTTGTTGAAAGCCTCACTAAGGCTTCTAATGCCCTCACTGTCTGTCCAGACAAATGCATCCAACACGCATTTTGAGTTTATTGTTTCTTCTCCTCTCACTCTAAAGGGATTTTTCCCAATTCCTCCTTTTCTTTTCTTGTCTTTCACAAAATGTTTAGTCACTTTCATCTTATTTCTTTCCTATTGCCTTTTACAAATGTTTTAGTCAAAGAGTTATGTATAAGGATTTTGCTTTTTTATTTATTGTAGTCAGGAATAAAACAATTTATTTACATTTAGTCAGTATATATATATTATTGTATATTAATATTTACTATTTCATATTCAGCCAGCAGGTAGCATGCTACACTCATGTGCTTACCTGTGTATCCTTTTCTGCTTTGCTTTATTTACAGAGTCCAATAGCTCAAGTTGAAATTTACCTTCAAGTGAATGAGTTGGAGGAATGACCCCTCCCTTTCTTTCTACCTCCCTCCTGCTGTTTGCAATTAGCCATATTCAAAGTTGATTCACAAAACACAAATAGGCTGTTCACTTTGCAAGGGAGCTTTTTCCTTAGCCTAGTAAATGAGGTGAAGCTCTGACTTCTATCATCCAATCATGTGCAAGTAAATAACCCATGCACAGCCTATTTGCCTTTAGTAAATCAACCCCAAAGTCTTAATTAGAGAAGCTGACCCTTTCTCCTCTGGACTCCAGCAGTCTAAGGACCGATGATGTCATCACATCTTATGCAGGCCAATTGACTTATGTTAGACGTGAGGATGTCGAGGGACATTACATACCGTATATACTCGAGTATAAGCCGAGTTTTTCAGCCCATTTTTTGTGCTGAAAAATTGTGCTTATACTCGAGTCAGTGTCTCGAGCACTGAGCAAAGTGAGTACGCTGTTCAGGTTTCTTCTTACTTACCTCGCCGAGCGTCGCGTCACTGCTGCTCCAGTGGGCGGCGCTCCGAGCGGGGTCATCTGGCAGTCTCCGTGTGCACTGAACAGGGTGCACTGTTGTAGTGCACTGAACAATAGATTTACAATTATCCTCTGCTAATATGAATGGGTTAAATGATCCGTAGTACATGATATGTAGCCCTGTACCCCCTTTTCCACTTACAGAGCTAGGTTATTGTTTTTCTTTTAAATAAATATTCATGTAATTTTATTGGTATCTATCTTCATTTTGTACATTTACCAGTAGCTGCCTCATTTCCCACCCTAGGCTTATATTCGAGTCAATATTTTTCCCCAGTTTTTTGTGGTAAAATTAGGTACCTCGGCTTATATTCGGGACGGCTTATACTCGAGTATATACGGTAGCCAGAGTGGCGGGGGAGAGAGGTGAGTGCTGACCGCCATGGGACTGACAATCAGGTTAGTAAATCTGCTTTGAGCTGTTTTGACCCACCTAGACAAAACAAACACTTAACCCTTGTAGTGCAGGGATAGCCCCACTCAAAGGTACAGTTTTTTTAAAATTCCCGGAGGTCTTTTTTAACTCCACCTTCCCATTAGGTCTCATTCACACAGCTACATGCTGGCCCGTACAGATCCGTGCGGCGTGCACGGCCGTATCAGGACGCTCCCGGGAAGAACAGGTGCTGTGTGTGATTTGTACGCAGCAGCCCGTTCTTCTCTATGGGAGTATGCGGCCGTACGCTCACTCGAACTGCACATCTGTGCGGGGGTCCATGCTTGGACGCAGACAGGATCCATCCTAGAGTACGGACACCTGTGCTCGCACGGATGTGCAGTTTGGGTAAGCGTACCGCCGGGTAGTCCCATAGAGAAGAACATGCTTCTGCCTACAATTACACGCAGCACCTGTCCTTCCCGGAAGCGGATATAATCCTCAGTAAGCATAGAGATAAGTATTATAGACACTGACCGAGCTGAAGAAGTTGGCTCAGTGATTTGCCGATGCATCCGGACATTGTGAACACAGTTTTCCTTATTGCCACTCTTGGCTTCCAGCGGGATGTCGGGTGAGGTGTGGCTGATCTTCATTGATGATTCCAGGAAAAGAGGGGGCTGCCCCAAATAGTTGTCGCTGTAGTCATGATCATTTGTGTCACTGTCTGCATAATTCAAATGCTCATGTTCTTTGCTCCCTTTCAGAACCCGTTCTCGCCAGGGGATCCAGCAAAGTTTCCACGAGACAAATAAGGAAACGCCGAAGAGGGCAAGTCCACAGGCTGTGACCAACAGGGACAATAAACTCACTGAAACATCTGGAAAAAGAGGAGGACAAAATACAAATGAATGTTATACAATGTTTGCATCTGAATGCCAAATTCATAACTATAAAGAAATCTGTCAAACGTTCCACTGAAAAAAATTGCATTCAATAATTCAGGTATTACAGTACTGTAGACTTTTAGTTAATGGTGGCCACCATGCTTTCTCAGTGAGGTCAGATGACTAAAATATTACTGCTGATTGGCTACTGAAGGTTACCTCCTGGTGTACTTTGTTTAATGCCATCAAAGCAATCTGTAGTCTTTCCATTTATTTATATGTATATATATATGTAGAAAATGTCAGCTTGGTGTAGCCTGCTCTCCTTCCTATAATACATGTCTAAGTCAGCTGATTACCTAAAAACAATTCACTCCTTGTGTGGCTGACATCTTATATTAATTTAGACATGTAAACATGTGGGTTGTATAGTAAAGTATACTACAATAATAACTCAAAAATATGTCTGCAGTAAAAGCACACTATGCTTTCTCTTAAAAGTGTATGTCTAGGCATTATGTAAACTTACCCGTAAATCTCTCCCTCCCCCGTTTGAGCCTGTCCCAGCATGATTATTTTCTTTTATATTGTTCCTGTGGTGTGTTTTTCTTTTTTACATCCTGTGACATCACAGGCAATGATGTCTTGTAGGGGCAGTTGTCAGGAGCTCAGTAGACACGCCCCCCAGAATTCATCTCCCAAGAGCCCTTTCCCTATACACTGTGTGGCGACAGTCTTTTTGAAATATCAAGGCAGCAGCACTGTTTTGCTGGGAAAGAAATCAATGTATGCATGAGGAGAGGGACAGAGAGAGGTGGGGTATGGGTAGAGGTATGTAGTCCAGCAGGGCCAACAACATTGGCTGGGATTTCAGAGCAGAAAAGGCACTGTGTTGTCAGCCTTACAGGAAATTAGGCATACTCTGGCGATTACAAAGTATTTTTCTTTAACTGTAGAATTTTTAAAGGGATAAACCATGGGAAAAGGTACAATCACTGTGGAGATGTAGACCAACCATATGTTTGTTTTTATTTTTTTTCCCCCCTGAGATACATACTCATGGATTAACCTTTGCACTGTCGTAGTTATGGAAGACTTCATAAAAAAAAAAAGACAGGGAGATTGACAGCCCGAGTGTTCTAAAATGGCTGCGAAGGAACCTTAGCTGGAACAAATCTTACATGTTACCGAGCTTCGATGGAGTGGAAAAAAAGATCAAGACGCAGAAGTCTCTGAAGTGGGACTCAAACTTCACGAAATCTAATTACTAATGTATCCTGCATTATTTCACACACATCATTGCTCTTTTGAATCAGCGAAACATGTTTCAGTTACAGTTAATTTGCTGCACTTTCAAGCAGCCATTATTTCCGACAATGTACTTAACCGACAGCGTTTAAATGAATCTTGCGTATTGGTGTTTTGTCATTATCCGTCTTCTACTCCGATAGAAATGATGATAGAAAATTAAATTTAATTGGAATTCTTCTCACTCTCATTTATTTTATTAATGGGACATTTTTAACCATTTTTCTTCCCCCATCGCTTATGAATGATTTACATCTAGAAAGATGGCTGCTCTGGCACTCACAAAACATCGTATCTGCCAAATGATCTGTGCCATTCAGTTTTGGATTGTTAAAAAATCACGAGGACACCCTTTACCTTCTATTAATCACAACACCTTTGTGATCTGAAAGTGGTTTGAAGATTCTTCATCACTATGTGCCCCGTGCAGCACTAGAAGGAAATGATGGAGACCATATGGCTATATATTTAATGATACCAGTCTATATGGTTACAAGTCTGTTTTTACATGGGCACGGAAGTTGCTTAAAGTAGATCTTTTGGCAACTTTACAAACCTGCAAAAATATATGCCTAATGTGTCACAACAGGAGCATTGGAGCAACATCTTTTTTCAAAGTTACCATACATTTTATCATTACAAAGCAGCCCTTGCGCTCCATTCAAATGATTTTACCTTGGCTAAGATGATATTATTTGTCTGCTGCAGGGAGGAGAAAGCATTTCAGTAGTCTCCCCTCCCCATTGACCAGACTGGAACATTATAACTATGTAATAAATCACAAGGTAAAAGGCTGCAGCAAGGGATAATCTGTGTCAGACATTTTAAACACAACCCATAATAACTGCACATGCGTCAGTTGTACTATAGATGCCCAGGCACCAGGATGTAGCTAGTGGCTAAACAAAGATGGTGCTGTGCTTCTGGAAAGTAAAGCAGAAAACGGCATTGGCACGGGGAGTACTATGATCTCTTTGAGATGTAAAAACTGCCTGTAAGACCACTTTTAGGAGGGTGGCTGAAGGGTGCTAAATCAGATGGCTTTACCTCTCCTCAGCTACCTGCAGCAATGTTAGCATTGTGGCCAGACAGTGATGTATACAAAAATTGTACAGCATGTCGCGAGGTGAATGGGACCGCAATGCAACCACATGCCAAGCATTTGGTCTGAGGTCGAGGCACGGTAATTCAATGAAAATCACACACGATGATGTCACTGCAGGGTGTCACCTGGTCTCCGCTCAGGGTGACATCTGGCCTCGGGACGCCCCTGTGGTTGCCCTGGTCAACTGCTCCAAATTTTGTCTGCTCCAGTATTGATAAATTCCCCTCTATGAGTTTTCTAAAGAGAGTGCACATCACAAACTGATTGCTATCAGACTGTCTCTCTTTTAACTGAACATATTCACACTGCTAGTATGCAATTTATTATATACCCTTAATAAGTGCAGCTTATTAATAAACATGACCTTATTCTGCTTAAAATACCCTTTTAATTTAATGACGGCAGCCCTAAAGTGTGTATGCTTCTAGCACATGCCTTCAATAAAGTGTTTGAACGCATGCACAAAAGAGTTTGTGCGAAGAGCAGAGAGGAGCTGCTTTGCTTGCCAGTGTTGTATAATAGAGGGTATTCGCTGAATCCCTTTAGATGCGTATACAAATACATCAAATTCATCTTAAACAACAACCTGTTCATGTTTTCTTCTGGTCCTGTTTCCCAGTCTGGGAATGTTGAACATTGCACAACGCATTATACACTTCCAGAGAGATCATTTGTACAGAGACAACTAACTCTGCACGCATCCGATTGCTAAGAACATAATCCATTATTGAATCTTTATTTTTCATTGGACCTATAAGGTTTCCATAGCTGCATTTTAAGCTTTTGTTGCATGGAAACCACAATATCTGCTTCATAAATCTTTCTGTGTGGTTAAGACCAGGAAGTTCTGTATTGATTAGGCATTCTGTAAAGAATATTCATATCATCCCAGGCATCTCACAAGTGTTCCTCCTTGGTTAAAGATAATTATAACTTACTGGGATGTATAAATGACACATGTACAACTTATAGCACAGTACACTTAGGGGTACATTTACAAAGCGGCCTCATTTCCTTACTGCAGCCATTCGTTTATTAAGTAAAATAGTACAGCGATGTGCAGGGCTGGATTTTCCACAAGGCCACCGAGGCCTTGTGGGAAATAAAATTAAAAAAAATGAAAAAAGAGAATAATAGGAAATATTGATTAAGGTTAAAAAATAAAAGAGTTATAAAATAGTAAAAAATAATAAGATAAAACAATTATAAAAAGTAAAAGATAATAAGATAAATAAAAATGTAAAAAAGTAAAAAAATTAATTAAAATAAAAAAAATAAAAAAGTGATACAAAAGTAAAAACAAATAAAGAAAACATATAAAAAAATAAAACCAACCCTGCCGCCATCTAGTAGCCATTGGCAGGCAGGGGACATACTGAGGAACCTGGCCTTGGGGCAGCAGAAAGAGTAAAGTAAATCTGGCCATGGCGATGTGTTGAAAAATGTGCTTAGCTGTTAGACTCTTCAAGACATTTCAATGAATGGGGAAAAAAAAGGGGCGGGAGAAGGAAGCCTGTTCTGTCAAGTGATCACCCTTTCTCCCATCATAGAAAGTTCTCTGCTTTACACAAGGAAAATTGGGATTGCAGTCCCCTGATACAGCGCTACCACGAGGGTGAGGGTGATTGGGTATGGGTTTTATTCACGCTAGGTGTGCAGCTTCTAGGAATGCGGACCGGGGTGGCCGACGTTTGTCAAGGAGAACAAAAAATGGGGATAGAAGCGCTACTACCATAAGGAATTGGTTTTATGCAAAATTGGAGAAACTTACCACAAAGTAATAGCTGATGCGATATCATCGACGAGGGGTGAATAGAAGGGGGACTTCCACTGGTGGGGATTGTGTCCACAGGTCTTCTTTTTCAAGCCGGACGATGAGGGGAGGGTTGGCGGGAAAGAACGGCTTTTTTAAAATGCGGGGAAGTGGGTGGAGCTGCCGAGGAGGGCGGGGATGAAGGCCAGGCCCATCATCCTCAAGCAGCAACACAGTGCACACCAGCTGCACCTTACCCCCCTCAGTCCCAACATCATCCAACAGCCCATGTCCATCCGTGCCTGTCACCCCCCTTCCATGCACTAATCGGACACAGGCTCCCACCACCATCCTGCACCCCCACAACCCTCAATTCCCCCTGACCTTCCCACAAGCACAACTGATTGTACACAATCCCCACCAGTGGAAGTCCCCCTTCTATTCACCCCTCGTTGATGATATCGCATCAGCTATTACTTTGTGGTAAGTTTCTCCAATTTTGCATAAAACCAATTCCTTATGGTAGTAGTGCTTCTATCCCCATTTTTTGTTCTGCTTTACACAAGGAATGCTCAAGAGGACAGGACACCACAGGCTCTACATCTTGGCATGTATTTTGTGAATGGACTACAATATAGGTGCAAGATTAAGCTACAACTGCGGTGACCAGCGGACAGCGTCATTCACTCTTTATTATAAATGAGCCCCTTACTTTTAAATTCAGCCCCCCTGATCTAGCGAGAGCCACCTGGCCGCCACACAGACAATTGTCAGAATGTTCTCCGCTCTACTCTTTATTAGGTCCTATGAAGAGTTTGCAATATGTC